AGTCACCGCGGCCCTTCAATGGAATGCAAAGGTATTGCATTTATTCACGGATTCCGCATGCGTGTATAAGTGGATAGCAGACACTCTTACGGGGAAGGCTAGGATACGTACAAAGGCTGCGAGCGAGATGCTCATTCGAAGGAGGCTAGACACACTGGGAAAGTTGGTAAGTGAATACCACTTATCCGTAGACATACAGCTGGTCAGATCACAGCAGAACAAGGCCGATACTTTAACAAGGGTACCCCAAAAATGGCTTGACGCTATTAAGAAAGAGGTAGAGCCGGTAGGACATGTCTGTGTAACATCAGCGAGCAACTATAACTCAGATTTACTAAAATCTGTGCATTGCCAAAGCGGACATCCCGGTGTAAAACGGACCTTATATTTCGTGAGGCAGATTTATCCCTCCGTATCCAAAGCTGCTGTCAGGGCAGTGGTCAGAGGATGCAAGGAGTGTCAGTCCATCGACCCAGCACCTGTGCAATGGCAAAAAGGACAAGTGAGTGTAAGCAAGGTGTGGCATCACTATTTAACCCTGATTGACTGGCCCAACCCGGTTCACTATTTGGCGGCGTCTGCGTCGACAGGATTCCGCAAGCGTCATTGACCACTTGGGGTCATTGTTCTTTGAACGTGGACCTCCGACGGAACTCCTCACTGACAACGACACTGCATTCCGCAGTGGACTATTCAAAGAGTTTTTGGCTTCGTGGGGAGTACACCTCAGATTTCGCTGCGCGTATGTCCCATCAGGGAATGGCATAATCGAGCGATGTCATCGGACATCAAAGAATCGCTGCTAGGAAGCAGTGTTCCATAATGGAGGCGGTGTATTGGTACAATGTTACTCCGAGAGACAATAATGTATCGCCCTCAACTGCGCCAGCCAACATGATTTATCAGTACAAAGTCCGGCTACGAGGCATTGACGCAACGCGTTCAACTGAACGGATAAACAAACGAGCGCCGTATGACTTGGGCGATCGCGTGTGGGTGAAATCTCCACATAGCCGGTGTACAACCCGGTACCGGGTGGGGCATGTCACTGGACTAAGTAACTCGCGTTCTGTGCTGGTTGATGGCATACCAAGACACATAAAGGACTTGCGTCGCTATGTAGGTACAGATACGTCAACAAGTGACACTAGCAGTGAGTGCTCAGAAAGTGAACAAATAATTACCATCGGAGGTAGGGCTAGCACCTCTTCAGATGGTGAAGACTCTGTGCGTGAGGTTGTCAGACCAGAAAAATCCTCAGAAGAAGAATCTTCAGAACATTCTTCAGATGATGAAGACTCTGCGCATGAGGTTGTCAGATCAGAAGAAACCTCAGAACATAACACACAATCTCCTCCAACAGTCGCCCCGCTCCGGAGAAGCTTAAGAATAAAGAGGCCCGCCCATGAGTGTCACTTATGTGACGGGGGGAGTGTAGTGAACGAGATAATCAAGTACCCCGGAAAAAAGTTCGTGTTTTGTGTGCGATCTGCCGAATTGGCTACGGCGTTCGTGAGTTATTTTCCTGACGCGTTACAAGTGATTTTCTTTCTTTGTGTTGTGAAAAAAAAATAAAGCTTTGAGAACAAAATATTCAGTCTTCTTGCATTAAGATTGCTCCACATGCGACATCACTGGCGTCGGTAGTGAGTGTGAAAAGTTTGGAGAAATCCGGAAACGAGATGACGGGTGGCGAAGAGAGACGGTCCTTGATTTTTTTTGAAGGCTCTGTCGGCATTTTGCGTCCAGATAAACGGTTTATTAACCTTGTTGAGTTCGTGTATGGGACCCATAAGTTTTGAAAACATATCTGACCTGATTTGTTCGTGAAGACGTGTCTTTAGGAATTGTCTGATCCACACTAAACGGCCGATAAGGCTTTGTAATTCCTTTTTTTTAATGTTGGAGGTTTCATTTCCTGATGGCACGAACGTATTCTGGATCAGCCTTGAATCTTTCGCTGTTTACTATGCGTCCGAGGAATTTTGCCTCTGATGTGAGGAAGGAACATTTATCTGGATTCAACTTGAGTCAGAATTTTCGGAGGGCAGTAAAAAATTGTTCGAGGGAGAGTATGTACTCCCTAAATGTCCTAGCGTGGACCAGGTTGTCGTCGACATAGGAAGAAATGTTGTCACGGGATGTGACCGTGGCTAGGGCTTCTGCTATGCAACGGGAGAAGATTTGTCCGGCAGATGTAAGGCCGAAGGCCAGGCGCGTGTATTGATAGCATCGATCCTTCCATGTAAATGCTGTTTTGTATCTGTCTCACTTGTCGATCTCAATTTGCCAGTAGCTGCTGCGTAGATCGAGGGAAGTGAAATATCTATTGCCTTTGCCGTTTTTGTTGAACAAGTGGTCGATCCTTGGCATTGGGTAAGGGTCAAGATCGACTAAGACCTTGTTGAGAATTCTTTTAAAGTTAGCGACGACGCGAATCGATCCGTTTTTCTTGCGTACGGCAAATACAGGGCTATTGAAGCCTTTCGGGTCGCTGCAGTTTTCAATGATACCTTCATCGGCCATGCGCTTAATTTCGGTATCAACGTCTGCTTCCAAAGTCTGGGCGATCGGGTGTTATTTCTGGCTGCGAGACTGGCCGTTGGCTGGTATGTGGATGGGTCGGATGAATGTGCCTTTCCTGCTGCTTTCGGTGCCGATAATGTCAGCGTAGCGAATGAGTAAGTTTGCAGTGGCCTCTAGTTCGTCTCGGTTCGGGTGTTTTGGTAGCGATAGCCCCATGCTATGCTTTAGCCAGGTTAGCTTTTGATCCAGTGTCTGGATGTTGGGCTGTAGTTCCATAGTAAGCTGGTTTTGGATGGCGTCAGCTTGGGCGCCATATGCTGGATCGTTGGTTGACGATGACGGTGATATGATTGCGGCTGTGTGTGTTGTGTATCCTGAGGAAAGTGTGCGTCTGAATTCTATTGTCGCATTTTGGTTGTCGATTAGATAGGAATCGAGTGTGTTATGAAATAGGATATTTTGGCCGATCAGGATCGGTATGGTTTGGGTAGTTACCAGCACGTTAACCTTTTTGAATGTGGGTGAGTCTCGACTGCCGATGGTGATGTCGCAAGTCAGTTCGCCAAGTGCGGTGGTGCTGCCGTTGATTCCTTTTACTACGACGTCGGAGCGGGTCATGTGTTTCTTGGCTTCTCTGGGTAACTGAGATATTGGTAAGATGCAGGTGGAGCATCCAGAGTCTAGCATTGCGACGCCAGAGAAGGTGATGTCCCTGAAGTTGAAGGTGGACTGGACGAGCGGCGAATGGTGAGCGAGTCCTTGAAAGTTGGTGTGATGGCTGACGTAGGGGCACGGCGAACGAGGCATCACATCTCGTCCTGCCCGAGGCGAAAATCCTGTTCCACATCATTTATGGCTTGTATATTATCATTCGTTGCGGCGATATGGGCCTGTGCCCGAGTGCGAGGTGGGTGGCGATATAGGCAGTTGCGTCCATGGAGGCAGGGGCGACCTCTGAGGTAGTTCTTGCACACGCTGATTCGTGGTGTGTGCTGATGGTTTCTGCGTGTCGGATGGTGGACATTTTCGGGAGGGTTGGTGAGGCCCATCTGCTGTGGGTTTGGTTGCCTGCTGGATCGGAGTGGCGTGTTTCTTTGGTTTGACCGCTGTGGTTTGTGTGTGAAATACACAGTGTTGTGCGAAGTCGTGTCGTTGGATTTTACACCGCGATCAAGGTATCTTTGAGCTTCGGAGGCTATGCCAATGGCTGAATAGTGGTTGTCCATAGTCTTGACAAGATGTGGGTAAAGATTTGAGTTCCAAATTTTCACCTTTTCGCTCATTAGCATAGCGCCGATGATTGAAATAAGTCCATCGACTGTTAAGTCTGTATTTTTGTCTTTTTTGTATTTGTTTTTTATGCGGACGGCTGCCTCTCTAAGGGATGTTTTTCAAGCCCGACCCACGAAGTCTGTTAATTTTTCGCCGTCTCGTGTCCCAGGCTGACACCAGTGTTATCATCAAGCTTATGGTTGCAAGAAGGAATTCCTTCAACAGTTCGAAATAGATTTACGTGATTTATTTCAATAGTAACAAAGTGGTTTGGGGACAGCTAATCTTGTGGTATAGTTCATAATTCGGCTCCCAGTCTGGGTTGAACTCTCATAGTAGTTCACACTGGTTGGCGTGGCGCTCCATCTGCTGACTGCTGCTGACTCCAGGTGACAAAGGTCTCTTCCCTTCAAAATCCTGTTGACTTTGCTGCTGACTGCTCAGCCTGACCGTGACAGGTCTCCTCCCTGGCCTCCTGTTGACTCCTCTTCTACTTCCCCGTGTGTCCCCTCTTATCGGCGTTTTTGTGTCGGCTTAACAGGCTGTAAAAACAACACAAGTATAATTAGGATAGTAGTGTTTTTATTCCTCGAAAAAATAGTTCACACTTTAAAATATTATTTTTTTTTTTGCCCAACTCATGTGTCACAATGTTATAACAACGATAAAGGTCATTGTGTGAGGGGCCTTGTCCCATTTAAATTTGGCTCTACTCTTGAGTTTGTTAGTTTATTTGCCTGTAAATCAGCCAAGATATGTCTTATTTTACTTTATAACATTACCTTATGTGAATTATTTAAAGAAATTCTGTATCATATAAAGTTTTTTCATAAATATACTCTCCTAAACATAAACTGTGTGCTTATTTCTCTGAAAAAATATTAAGTATGTTTTAATTTCTGTTGTATTTGAAACTATGGCAACTTGTCAGAATAAATTTGTTTAATATTAAAATTTTGTAAAAGTTACAGTTTTGATGATTTAAGTGTTGGTAATGAAGTAATACCTGCACAATTGTTCTGTTATTTTTTTCTGAAAGTTTTAGAGCACAAAATCATTGAGTTCTATTTAATTTATTATTTCTTATGGTTTCAAGCCTGTTTCTCAAGTAACTACCAGTATTTTTTTTTATATATATGTTATATTTTGCTCTTGGAATATAAGTAATTATAATGATAAACAAATAAATAAAAGTATCTGACCTGCACATGCATGAAGATTTGAACTGTCTTTATATCCTGGAATTGAACAATTACATCTGTAGGAACCTGGGATATTGATACAAGGACCAGGACAGGAGAGCTTTTTCTTTGATGTGCATTCATTAATATCTAAGAAAAAAAAAGAGCAAATAAAACAAAATTAACAGGAGAATTTTTTACAAATAATTATGTTAGAGACATTCTTATTTCTGTAAAGTTCTTAAATACTGTTTTAAATAATTTTTTGTATTTATATACCAAAAAGAAGCATTTTATTTAAGGAATTTTCAACAAAAATACCATATGATTTTAAGTTACCTTTTTCTACCTATAATGATAAAAGAGCAAATGAAATTTCTCATCTCTCTTCATTTGTAACTGAATTGAGAAGGAAACTATCTGTAGTCTACCTTTTGCAATTCTGTTATTCTTTCAGGTGATGCAAAAATTGTTTTTAAATTTTACTTTACAAAAAAATGTTTGCACATGATAAAAAATATTATATTATAAGTGTAATTTCTTGGGATACTGACTTGATGTTTAATAGGTTAACCTCATGAGTCACTGCATCTCAATTGTCAGTAGGTACCCAACAATAATGGCCTTGTGCCAAAATAAGCTTAGCTTAGTAATTATAACTGTAAAATTTTATCTTGTTTTGTCATTTAAGAATTGTGTTAGTTTATTGTAGGATTGATAGATTCAAAAGCTAAAGATTTTTTATTTATTCTAATCCTAATGAAAATTTATAATTGTTAAAAATTTTTTTTTTGTAACAATAAATGTATTTAGTATTTCATTTATTTATAGATTGGTAACAATGGAGTAAGAATCACATAACATGATTGCACATTTTATATTATTGGCTTTTTATTTTATGTCTCTTTGAGAATATGCATTAGAATAAGAGCATCCTTTGTTTATTGGTAAATTTCTTTTGAGATCAACTGAATATAAAAGTAAAAAAAAAAGTGTAAGTCACTTTTCAGAATATGCACATGTGTTCCTCTTACCTCTGACAAATCCAACAGTTGATGCATAACTTTTTAATTTACACATTGTCTTTAATAAACATAAGTAATTTTTTTTCTATAAGTGTTTTAACTGCCCTCTACCAATAAAATAAATTCCTTAATAGTAGCTTTTAGATAATTTTTGTTTCAATTTCTATTTAATCAGTTCTAATTGTAGATGAAAATAAATAAAACACATCTCATTACTTCAAATATTTCTCCTGCACATGTATTATCAACATTTATTTTCACATATTAGTCAGAATAATAGTAAGTAAAGCTGAAGATTTTGGTTGGTATTCCCATTTTTGCATCCACTGGCATGTTTTCTCTTTTTCATCATAAATTATACCATTGTGTATATTAAAAATGAATGTTATGCAAAGTAAATTTGTGCCAGAAATTAATTCTGTTAAACATTTATTCAAATTCATGCATTAAAAAATGTGAACTGATGAACATAAAAAAAATGTTTTTCATGCACATGCATATTATTTATTTTCATACATGTTAGTCATATTTAAAGCTGAAGATTTTGGATGGCATTTCCACTTGTTTTCTCTTTTATCAAAAATTGTATCATTTAAAAATGAATATCATTGAAAAGCCTTTATTGTTAATCATCATAAGACTTGTTTATCAACAGAAATTAACAGAACTTTTTAATATTATTAAGATAGTCATAACATAAGCAACTGCCAAATTATGAATTTCTGTACTGGTTCCATTCCATCTAACAAAAATATTATTAAAATAGACCTGTTTTCCAGTAATTATAATCAAAACCATCTAAAACTGAAATAGTCTTAATACAAATTCATTTGATTATTTGTTTTATGTCTACTTTGAATACTTCTTCAATGCTCTTTGAAAGAAAACAAAACCTTTATAACATTGCTTATATTCAATTCAAGAATATGATTCATTTATTTACATGAATAGAAGGTATTCTCTTAGACATCTGACTTGTCTATATATTCTACTTTACCAGCCTTTAATTAACTATTTTATTTGTCTATCAGAGAATATGAATATCCAACATTAGAATTCTATTTACGGAATAAAAAAAAATTAATAAATCTATTTATGGCAATGGGATATTGTCTTGTTTTCACAGTAATACTTAAGCTTCAGTCCACATGGGTTGTTATTCTTCAACAATAACATAAGAAATATTAAAATTTTGCAGTGTATAAGTTAATGTAATTGAGGTTAAAATGTGTTATTTGCAATAATATTTTTACATTCATCCTGCTGTTGAATATTTTTCAAATATTTGAAAATTGGTCTGAATATCATTTAATTTACATTTTGATTCCATATTTTGCATATTAACATTTTCATTAATTACAATTACAAAACATGAGCAATAAGAATTATGATATTTTGGGGTTAAGTTCAAAATCTTTGCAAAGATATTGAAGTGATAACTATTATGAGTTATAACCAGATCTTAGGCCAGTGTTCCTCTTTAATATTTTTTGCAGAAAGTAAATTACACCACTGTTATTGATGATCAAGTTGACTATATACTTTTTATAACATATTTCCTATTACCTGCTTTATTAGCAAAGATGAAAGGCCAAGTTTAATTGAAATTTTGAACTTGGTAAGCTGTTATATCAAGTATATAGGTCCAGAAAGATACTAAACATTTTGCAAAGAACTAGATTACTTTCTTTCATAAACAATGATCAAGAACATCTTTAGGTCTTTGATAGATTTCATAATTTAAGTAAACATTCAATAAATATTTTCCTTTGCTCATTTAGCATGTAACAGCATTCCAGCTCATTTAGTTTTCTTCCCAAAGGTAGCTCTTGCAAATATACTTACCATAATAAATTCTTAAAGGATTTTTTTGTCATGGTAGCCAAAGAAGTACAGTATAGAAGTTGCTTACAGAAAGAAGTATTCAGTTTGAAAAAGAAAATGAATGAGAAATATTAGGAAGAATCATATCTGAAAAATGATTTTTTAATTGCCATCCTTGTTGACATATTTAAGAAAGCAAAATCAATAAAACACAAGACTAGGTAATTAAATTAAAAGTTTTATTTACATTAGAACTACCATAGACAAAGGAAAGAATATACACAGGAAACATTGAATTTTAAATCAAGTTTCGAAATGTCAAGTGACTGACTTTGTCAATGACATACCCAGTGGATGTGCTCTTCAAAAGGAAAAAAAAATTCAATTTTTGGTAGAAACTATTTGAATTAGAATTTTGAAGATGCAGAATACATTTTCCAAAGTCACATTATGAGATAGAAGAATTTCCAAGGATTCTTCAGAAGGCTGAGTCCATGCTACCAATGTAGTGGCCAATTGTAACCTGAGGATTAAAATAACACATTAAATATATAAGCCACTCTCCGTTTCATAAAACATGTGCAAGTTCTTTAGGAAATATGACAGCAGAAACAAAATAGAAGTTTTGCCAATACAAACAACTTTACAGACAGAAAAAACATAACCACCTTTTTTTTCACTAATCCAAAAGGAAACATTACATATAATAACTTTTAGTGTTATAAAATATGGCTGCATAAAATTAAAGGACATAATCATTATGTACAATTTACTGTAATTATATTCATTTACTAGATGAAGTTAATTATGTAAATATGGATAGTCTTGGGGGTTGCATCAATCATAATGTCATGAATTTTTCTGATTTTTTTGTGTTCACTTAACTGGTTTCTACTCTTAATTTCTTTTTATTGATTATCAAATCTAGGACAAATATAAAGTAAATTTTTTTCTATACTTTGTATATACACACATCTTAAATGTTATAACAGAAAACAACCAGAATCTGAGCAAACAAAAATTCACTATATGGATAGAATTTTATTCCTCAATAATTAATACATAACACTTTATTATTATTTTTTTTATTTATGTTATCTTAAATTAAAGTTAAAGAGAAAAATTAAATCTTAGACTGTTGAAAGTTAATTTCTGATTACTCCTTTTATAATATATATATATAGGCAAATAAAAACAAATCTGAAGTTGAAACTAAAATGTTTCCATAAAAATTAAAAAAATAAAGACACAGATCACTCCATTTTCTAACTGTTGTCATATGAACATCTAAACAATGCACAAATGTTGTGAGCCCTGAGATGGCAGCAATTCTCTTCCAATCATGGTCATTTGTTCATTTAAAAACTGCACTGACCTCATCATTGGTAGAATGGTCTCTTCACAACCTTCTTGAGATATTTGAAGAATCAAAAAGAAAAGGGAAATATAAGTAGTTTATAATTATTTGAAAGTAAAAACATGTTGCCTCCAGACCTGGTGAATTTGAACAAGAGACCTCTGCTTTAGTAAAAGGTACAAGCAAATGCCTAAAAAATTGTTTTACCTTTTGACAAATATTTTAGATTTTTCTTTCTTCCATTCAACAGTATTGTTAAACAGCGCTGTTGCACAAGCCAGTTCCAGAGTATTTATTTGCCACTCTGCCTGCTTTCTTGATGATCATATGGACATAGATGTACAAAGGGCAGAAAAATTTGGAATGGGTTTTAAAAAAAGAAATAAAAAATGAGATTATCACTGTGCTGGAGAAGTCTAAAGGACAAAAGCATACATTAAGTCAGCTAAGCAAGAAATTATTATTGTTCTTGTAAGTAATTAAATTCAAATATTGTCCCATTTTTAACTTTTTAGTAGGAAGAGAGAAAAAGAAAAATTCTTATGGAAAACAGTTTTTCTTTTCTGTAATAACTTTTAATTGGTGTTAATATTCCAAATGGTTAGCAAACAGCAATTCTGATATGCAGCAGGATATCATCTAAGAATTTTTACTTTATTACAACTGAATGAAAGACATTTTCATATTCTAAAGAGATTTAAACCAAAAAATAAAAAGTAAATTATTTATTGGCAAGTTTTGCATATTTTAAAAATGTGATAAGTAGTTTAAAAGCTATTTTTGAAGTGAAATTAAATAATTTATGAAAAAAAATATCAAGATATTAAAACTGAATGAGACATTGCACAGGAATGTCACACTGGGCAAATGTTACATGAATA